CCCCTGCCTCCAGGGACCCCCGACCGCCCCTCCCCCCGGACCCTGGCTCGCCCCTCCCCTTCCTCCCCTTCCCCGGGACCCCCACCAGAACCGCGGGCTCCAGGCGGTGTGCGATCGCTCTGTACCCGGCTTCTCGATTGTTTTACTTGGTTAACTGCTTGCTCTGCGGGAGTGTAATGAATATTTATTGATGAGTTTTAAAACGTGCGGCCTTGAGGGGGAAGGACTGGTAAGGCGCTGCCGGGTCCCCCGCTTCGACTCTGCGCCCCGCGGCCTCAGGACCCCCGGGCTGCTTCTCTCCTATCAGACCCCGGGCGCCCTGGGCGCTCGGCACCTGGGCGCCGACCGGCCGCGGCGGGTTACCAGGACTGACTTCCGGGCCCTCCTGGTGCGAGTGCCCGGAATACTCAGTGCCTCGCCGTCCGAGCTCCCCGTCTGCTGAGCCCGGTGACCGCTGGACAGGGAAGGGGCCTGAGCTCACGTGGGACCGGGCCAGAAGTCACAGAGCCGCCTGGAACAGAGATGTCACACAGGCTGCCCCCATCGCCGGCCGGGGGCTGCCGGCAGGGGCGTGCCCCGGGCCACAGCTAACAATATTCCAGCCCTGCGTGCTCCTCACTTGTAAGGAGCTGCGCCCGAGGCCCGGGGCGGAAGGGAGGATCCTGACCGCTGAGTTTCCCGGGCGCCCGGAGTTAAGGGAGGCGCCGCCGGGCGCGTACAGACGCTGACGCAGTTCCTCTGCCAAGCGCCTCGTGCTTGGGCTTCGCCCCTGGTTATCTAGCAAGCCCCTGCCACGTGCCGGCATCTGTACCAGGCCCTGGACACGGAGGGTAACCGAAACAAACGGGGCCTCTGCCCTGCTGTGTTTCCATTCTAGGGGAGGGGGCTCAACCAGACATCACTCTATAATAAACTTTCCACAAATGAGAGCTGATGTGAAGAGCAATAAAGCTGCCAGTGTGGGAAAGACACGGGAGTGGGAGCCAGTCTCAGACCAGGCGGTCAGAAGTCACTCTGGACAGGCGACATTCGTGCAGAGACCTGAGGAGCCACATCTTGTTCTGGGGGAGGAATGTTCTGGCCATTGCAAATGCCTGGGGCAGGAACAAGCCCCGAGTGTTAGAGGACCTTCGGGAAGGTCGGGGTGGCCGGAGTGATGAGCAGAAGTCAGGGAGGGGGCGAGGGAGGCAGGTCTGGAGGGCCCACAGGCCTGGCAGGGATCTGGACTTTAGCCTAAATGACGTGGGACCTTTGGAGGGTTTTGAGCTGGGGAGTTTTTGATATGCTCTGAGTTATTTTATCTTGGCGTAATTTCAGACTGTGTCACAAAGGTGGCAAGAATAGTGTAAGAATTGTCAGATTCTCATCCAGATTCCCAAATGTTAGACTTTTACCAACCCCAGGAATCTGTGAGTGTGACCTTATGTGGAAATAGGGTCTTTGAGGATGTAATCAACTTAAGATGAGGTCACAGTGGATAAGGGAGGGGGTGCTAAATCCAAAACGACTGGTGCCCTTATAAGAAGAGGGAGATTTGGACTCGGACCCACAGAGAGGAGGAAGCCATGTGAAGACGGAGGCAGAGGTGGCATCATTGGCACAAGACAGGGAACACCAGCACCCACTGGGAGCTGGAAGAGGCAGAAGGACCTCCCCAGAGCCTTCAGAAGGAGCAAGGCCCTGCTGACAGCTTGGTTCTGCACTTCAAGCCGCCAGAAGTGAGAGACAGTCTATTTGTGTTGTTTTAAGCCATTCAAGTTTGTGGTAATTTGTTATGGCAGCCTGAGTACCAATTTTTTTTTTTTTTGATGATTTCCAACTGTCAGAAAAGTGGAAAGAACAGTACAAAGAACTCCCAGATGCCCTTCATCCAGATTTTCCAAATGTTAAATTTTTATTACATTTGCTTTACACTTCTCTGTCTCTCTCTCTATATACATATAATATGAATCTAAGCATCTGTCATCTATTTATCTATCATCTATCCATCTTGTTTTTCAGAATGGTTGAAAGTTGCAGACGTGATGTCCCTTTGCCCCTAAAAACTTCAGTATTTCCTAAAAACAAAGAATTGTTTTCCATAAGCACAACTGTCAAAAATCAAGAAGTTAAACTAAAACTACTCTAAAAAAATAGTCTTTAAAAAAATAAACAAACAAAAAAGTTAACATTGATACAAAACTATGATCTAATCCACAGACCTTATCCAGAGTTTACTAATAGTCTCAACAGTGTCCTTTATAGCAGATCCCTGACCATGAGCTGCATTTGGTGGCTGTGTTTCTTCAGTCATTCTTTGTATTAAGACATTAATATGTTTGAAGTGTACAGGCCAGATATTTGTTCTCGTGATTAGACCCAGCAGATGCACTTTTGTTGGAAGACTGTGGGAGGGATGCTGAGTTAGTGTCGGTGCCCTGTCAGGCACACGCTGTGTGTCCCATCTCTGGCAATGTTAACTTGGACCACTTAGTTAAGGTGGTGTCTGCCAGTTTTCTCTGCTGTTACTTTTGTTAATAGTAGCAAAAGTTATTATTTTTACTGCTTGTAACTAATAAGTATCTTGTGGGGAGATACTTTGAAACTATGAAAATACTCTGTTACTTCTCAAACTCTTACTCTCTAGTTTTAGCATTCAAGGATGCTATATGTCTGAATCAATTTAGATTAAAATGCTTGCCAAGGGGCCTTGCTCCTGGTGGCCTAGTGGTTAAGTTCACACGCTCCGCTTTGGTAGCCTGGGGTTTGCAGCTTCGAATCCTGGGCGTGGACCAATGCACCGCTCATTAAGCCATGCTGTGGCAGCATCCCACATACAAAAATGGAGGAAGATGGGCACAGATGTCAGCCCAGGGCCAATCTTCCTCAGCAAAAAGAGGAGGATTGGCAACAGATGTTAGCTCAGGGCCAGTCTTCCTCACTCACACATAAAAAATGGTTGCCACGTGGTGATTTTTCTAATTCCATCATTTCTTCTACATTTATTATTTGGCATTCCACTATAAGAGTTTTTCTTCTCCCCCACTCATTTATCTATTCATTTATGTATTCCAATATGGATTCATAATTCTTTTTGTTAACATACATTTTACCATTGAAAGTGCACAACCCAGTGGTTTTTAGTGTACAAACAATAATACTTAGTATTCACAGAGTTGTGCAGCCATCACAATTTAATTTTAACTTTTGTGTCACTCCAAAAAGACACCCTGTATCCATTAGCAGTCACTCCCCATTCCCTCTCCCAGCCCTCCAGACATAGGTAAACCAAGAGTCCATGTTTTCATTTCTGTCAGGTGGATTCTGTCCTTATTAAATAGATTATAATCTTTTACTATCATTATTTTGATGTTAAAATGGCCCCAGACCAGGAATCAAGCTGGATCCTGTGTCTGTTTGTCGTTTCCCATCATTCTTTGAGCACCGCCTATTTTCTGGCACGTGATGTTTCAGGCTCGTCTTGGTTTTCCCTGCCCCAGTCTTGGGATGGGACATTTCTCCAATGGGTCCTTATTATGGGCTGAACCGTGTCCTCCCCAGATTCCTGCTGAAGTCCCAACCTCCACACCTAAGACTGTAGCTGTATTTGTAGATAAGATCTTTAAAGAGGCGATTAAGTGAAAACGAGGCCATTAGGGTGACCAGGACTCTCTCCTTGACCAGCTTTGGCCAGGCTCCTCTGAACCCTCTTCTCCACTAGCGCCACCCCCTGCCCCCCTTGTCTTGGGCCTGCCTAGCCCAGTTTTGGCAAGAATCTTGCTAAGTCAGTTTAGAGAGAACCCCGCCCCCCCCCCATCACTCTGGTATCTGATCAACTGCCTCACCTTTGAGGTAGAAGTCCTTGGCCTGCCTTTAGCAAGAATCCTATTAGGTCAGTTTAGCAAGAACCCGCCTAGCCTTGATGTCTCCCATAATTCTCCATCCACCAACCCTCCACTCTGCTCCCTGGCTATAAATCCCCAGCCATCCTTACTGCATTCAGAGTTGAGCCCCATGTCTCTCCCCTTTTGCAGTATGCTGATCGCAATCATCTTCAGTAAAGTCTTCCTTACCATTTTAACAAGTGTCAGAATAATTTTTTCTTTAACAAGAGTGGGGCCCTGGCTTAAACAACAGATGTGTATTTCTCATGGTTCTGGAGGCTGGAAGTCTGAGATCAAGGTGCTGCAGATCCAGTGTCTGGTGAAGGCCCCCTTCCTGCTTGTGGATAGTGCGGGGGTGGAGGGAGAACGAGCTCTCCTGTATCTCTTCTTATAAGGGCAGCACTCCTGTTACCGAGCAATGGGCCTGCTCTGCTCACCACCGTCTGAGCCAATTCATCACAACAAGTTAGGGATTGAGAAAGGATGTTTTAATTCGATTAGCCAGCATAATCAGGAAGATGGCAGACTAATGTCTCAAAAAAAAACTATCTTCAAAAATTACAGAATCTTGGGCCGGCCCCATGGCTTAGCAGTTAAGTGCGCACGCTCTGCTACTGGCAGCCCGGGTTCGGATCCCGGGTGCGCACCGATGCACTGCTTCTCTGGCCATGCTGAGGCCGCGTTCCACATACAGCAACTAGAAGGATGTGCACCCACGACATACAACTATCTACTGGGGCTTTGGGGAAAAAAAAAAGTAGGAGGATTGGCAATAGATGTTAGTTCAGAGCCGGACTTCCTCAGCAAAAAAAAAAAAAGAAGGATTAGCATGGATGTTAGCTCAGGGCTGATCTTCCTCACAAAACAAAACAAAACAAAATTACAGAATCTTGAGACAGTTATATAGGGAAAATGGGCAGTCAGGAGGGGGTTTCCTTCAGGCATGATGGACTCCAGGGTCTTTCATTGTTCCATTCTTCTGTCAGCTGTCATGGATACCTTGTAGGTGTTTCCCACCTGTGGTCAGCCTGTTCCTGGAGAGAAACTCATAGAACAAAGTTCGAATTTATCAAGCTGTTGGGGGGTACATACGTAAGCCGAGGCCATAAATCAGGAGAGCATGTGACTTTTTTTAGAGTACATGCAGAGCAGCAAGTAGTCACACAGACGAGGGGCTGGGGCCATTTAGTGTAACAAGATGGCCTTGCTTATGCTCACTTACAATCCCATTGTGGGGGCTGCACCCTTATGCTCCCAAAGGCCCCACCTCGTAATACATCACACTGGGGATTAGGATTTAACCCAAACCCAATCTGACTGGTGTCCTGATAAGAAGACACAGGGATGTGCCTGCACAGGAGAAAGACAGTGAGGACAGAGGGAGAAGGCGGCCTTCTACAAGCCAAGGAGAGAGGCCTCAGGAGAAACCAGCCCTGCCCACACCTGGGTCTCGGACTTCCAGCCTCCAGAACTGTGAGAAAACAAATGTTTGTTGGGGAAGAGTTTGCTGACACTGCACTCAAGGTCCCTAAGGGCCAGCAGAAGGATTCACAGCCCAGGAAGTAGCAGGTGACTAGGGCAGATGAAGGAGGCATGTCTGGGACATGCGGGACCGAGGCTGGGTCTTCCAGGTACAGGATAGTGGGGAGGAAATGTTTCCACATCCAGAAGATAAGAAAGCAAACCAGAGAAGAGCTAATGGTAGGAGCAGCCTCCCGCCTCTCCTCACCCCCAGTTCCAGGTCTCAGAGACAATCTCTTTGGCCATTTCTTTTTTTAATCTTATGGTATTCATCTCCATAATGCAGACAATATCCTGTATTTCTTTTTCTTGATTTATGAACTTTAGACAATATCTATTTTACACAATAGAAATAAATGCTATTTCTCATTCCAATAACTTTTTATTTGTAACAATTTTATTGATACGATTCACATACCATACAATTCATGCATTTATTTTTTTTTAATTTATTATTTTTTTTGGTGAGGAAGATTAGCCCTGAGCTAACATCTGTTGCCAATCTTCCTCTTTTTGCTTGAGGAAGACTGGCCCTGAGCTCACATCCATGCCAATCCTCCTCTACTTTGTATGTGGGACACCGCTAGAGCGTGACCTAACGAGCGGTATGTATGTCCGCGCCCGGGATCCAAACCCATGAACCCCGGGCTGCTGAAGCAGATCGCTTGAACTTAACCACTACGCCACTGGGCCGGCCCTACAATTCATCCATTCAAAGTGTACAACTCAAAGGCTTTTAGTATATTCACAGAGTTGTGCAACCATCACTAGTCAATTTTAGAACATTCTCATCACCATGGACAGAAACCACACACCCCTTGTCCATCACCCCCACCACAATCCTTCCACACCCCCAGCTCTAGGCAACCACTCATCTAATGTCTGTCTCTGGATTTGTGTATTCTGGACATTTCATATAAATGGGATCATATACTATGTGTCCTTTGTGACTGGCTTCCTTCATGTGGCATAATGTTTTAAGGTTTATGCATGTTGTAACAAGGATCAGTACTTCATTTCTTTTTATTGTCAAATAAAACACTATCGTATGGATATCCCACGTTTATTTATCCATTCATCAGTTGGTGGACATTTATGTTGTTTCCACCTTTTTGCTGATTAATGTTGCTATGCATGAATATTCATGTACAGGTTTTTGTGTGGATATATGTTCTCATTTCTCTTGGGTATATAGCTAGGAATAGAATTGCTGGGTCTATGGTGACTCCGTGTTTAACCTTTAAAGAAACTGCCAAATTATTTCCCTTAGCAGCTGTACCATTTACATTCCCACCAGGAATGTATGAGGGTTCCAACTTGTCCACACCCTCACCAACACTTGCTATCATTTGTCGTTTTGATCATAACCATCCTACTGGGTGTGAAGCGGTATCCAATTGCAGTTTTGATTTGCGTTTCCCTAATGACAAGTGACGTTGAGTGTTTTTCACGTGCTTGTTGGGTATTTGTGTATCTTCTTTGGAGAAATGTCTATTCAGATCCTTTGCCCACTTTTAAATTGGGTTGTTTGTCTTTTTGTTGTTGAGTTGTAAGAGTTCTTTATATGTTCTGGATACTGGACTCTTGTCAGATATATGATTTACAAATATTTTCTCCTGTTCTGTGGGGTGTCTTTTCACTTTCTTGATAGTGTCTTTTGATGCAGAGAGTTTTCATTTTGATGAACTCTAATTTATCTATTTTTTTCTTTTGTTGCTTGTGCTTTTGGTATCATATCTAAGAAACCATTGCCAAATCCAAGGCCATCAAAATTTACCCCCATGTTGTCTTCAATGAGTTTTATGGTTTTAATTTTTATATTTAGGTTTTTGAGCCATGTTGAGTTGACTTTTGGTATACGGTGTGAGGTAAGAATCCAACTTCATTCTTTTGTATGTGGAAGTGCAGTTGTCTTAGCACCATTTCTTGAAGAGACTATTCTTTCCTGATTGACTGGTCTTGGCACCCTTGTCAAAAATCAATTGACCATAGATGTGACCATAGGGTTTCTTTCTAGACCCTCAATTCTATTCCATTGGTCTATACGTCTATCCTCATGCCAGTACCACACTGTTTTTATTACTATAACTCTGTACTAAGTTTCGAAATCAGTAAGTGCAAGTCTTCCAACTTTGTTCTTCCTTTTCAAGGTTGTCTTGGCTATTTGTGGTCTCTTGCAATTCCGTACGAATGTTAGGATCAGCTTTTCCACTTCTGCAAAGATGCTGTTAGGATCATGATAGGGTTTGCATTGAATCTGCAGATTGCTTCTGGGGAGTACTGCCATCGTAACAATATTAAATCTTCCAATCGTGAACATGGAATATCTTTCCATTTATTTAAGTCTCCTTTAATTTCTTTCATCAACGTTTTGTAACTTTCAGCATACAGGTCTTGCTCTTCCTTGGTTAAATTTATTCCGAAGTATTTTATTCTTTTTGATTTGGAGAGTAAGTCTTCTGCCCATGAACATGGGATATCTATTTAGGTCTACTTTACTTTTTACAACAATGTTTTTGTCATTTTCAGAGTGTAAGTTTTGGACTCTGTAACTTTCTACACTATCTGTCAACTCTTCACTTTATAAAACAAGCCTTTGAGGGTTCCTACTGCTTCCTCTGCTTGTCTTTCCTCCCACCACCCATATCCAACCTTCAGTCATTAACACTATTGCTCCTAACAACAACTAACCTGACTGAGCACTCACCATGCATGTGCCAGGCACTAGGAACTCTACCTTTATAACTAATGGAATCCTCATCACCCTCGGAGGAGGTGGGTACTATTTAACTGTCACTTCACAGACGAGGACAATGAGGCATGGAGAGGTCGAGGGACTGGCCCCAGGTCTGCAGCTAGTAGGGAGCAGAGCCAGGATTAGGACCCAGATTCAGACCCCTGTGTCTCTGCTTTTCCTGACTGAACTTCTTGCCTTCCCACAATGACAATCAACTCAACCTTGGGGTATGTCAGGTTGAACCATGTGAATTGCTGGTTTGATCTTTTTGACCTATAAAAAGCAATTTCACGGGCCGGCCCCGTGGCTTAGCAGTTGAGTGCGCGCGCTCCGCTGCTGGAGGCCTGGGTTCGGATCCTGGGCGCGCACCGATGCACCGCTTCTCCGGCCATGCTGAGGCCGCGTCCCACATGCAGCAGCTAGAAGGATGTGCAACTATGACATACAGCTATCTACTGGGGCTTTGGGGAGAAAAAGGAGGGGGATTGGCAATGGATGTTGGCTCAGGGCTGGTCTTCCTCACACACACACAAAAAAAGCAATTTCACATGATTCAACATGTTAAAAAAAAAAAGGCCTGGGATTTGAAGCAGGTGCCTGAGTATCTGTCCGCCAGGTGTGAGTGGGAATTTTCTGAAGCTCCGGCTCTGCTGTGTGCGGTTGCAAGGTGCTCCCCGAGGAAGCTCCGCTGTGAGAGATCCCATTGCCCCTGGACGTGCCCGGCATCTTCAGAGCAGAAGACTGGAGGCTGTCCTGAGATGGGGGCTCTGTTTTGGGGGTGAGAGCTCTTTTGCTCCCTCTAACAGCAAGTCCCAAGCGGGAAAAAGCATAGGTCCCCTCCCTAAAAGCCATACTGCCCCGTCTGCATGAGTCATCCGGCCTGTTGGACCTCGGGCTGGTCTGACAGTCCCTGGGTAGGGGCCCCTCCTGCCGGGCCACATGGACTTGCAGTGGCTGCATTTCTGGGCCTGTCCTGCTGCTCCCGAACAGGTGCGGAGAAGGCAGCCTCCTGGTTGGCCTCAGGACTGTTTGGTCGAGAAGCTCCCATTACGTAAGACGTGGTGGGAGGAAGAGGCCTTGAGCT